GATTTTTATATTAATAATGAAATGAACAGTCTTTGACAGTAGTTAAAAATGTAGAGCTCGTTTTTATGTACAAGATGTGCTACTTTACTTCTTCACAGATAAAGGAACAAAAAAGCTTCTTCACTACCACTTCTTTAATTATTATTTTCAAATTTTTGCCTCACTATCGATTTAAAAAAGTAATAAGCAAAAGAGAGATGAGCAGCCCACAAAATGTTTTAAAACTTACTGTCAAATGCTGAAAATATTTGACTGCTGCCAAATTGACCTTGTCCTACCTAGTTTGGACCTTTGCAGTGTCCCCGTCTCTGTGCAATGCTTTTTTTACAGCGAGCTAGAATTTTCAAATTAAACGGCGTTTTTTACGCATTAAGACACTGTATGAAAAGGCTTTTTGTCATTAGCCTATAAATTTTATGGCTCTGTCAAAAATTGTTGCACGTATATCGAAGGCATCTCAGTTTGTAGAGCAGTGTTTGTTCTATCTTTTGGACTACCCGAAAATATTTTCAATTGTCCCTGATTTTCCTGTTAACCACTAGAAATCCCTTGCTCAAAACCATTCATCAAGAAACTTTATTTTCACATTTTTATACAGTCTGAGTTGCGCTTTCAAATAAAACAGCAGATTTTTTGATTTCTGACCATGAGGACGATCAGAGGGAATCGTTCCAAGTTAAGTAAAAATACCTTGAAAATAGTGATTTTTCATGGTTTGTACTGTAAAATTTGTTGAAATGGTGATAGGTTTCACACTGGTACAACTACATGATGGAAGCGGGAGCAAAAAGGCATGAGTATGACTTTGAAACAGTGGACAAAAAATGGTTTTTGAATCGGATGTCCTTGGGTGAATGAGATTACCGTTTATTGAACAAGCCCAAACATAAGGATGCAACTTCGTAGAAAGGCTCGAAGTATGCTGAAGATACTTTGTGAATCGTTCCATTGTTGAGTATTCGATACAAAAATGAATCTCTCGTATACCAACGTATAGCATCCAAAGTATTATAGTTATCTCTAAATTCAACGATTTTTTTAATTTCATTGTCATTTCCTTTGTATTGTAAGCGACAAATTGATAACAGATCATTTTTAGCATTATTTGTTTGAGGCATTATTCTTAATACTTTCAGTAAAATCTGATGCCACATAAATGCAGCATTTTCTTTACTTAAAACGTTAATACCATTTTGATAAGCATCTGCTTTCAATAGACTTGTTGGCATTAGATCATTGGAATACGACCGAAAATCTTTGATGAGTCGCATAAACAATTGATCTTTCTGACTGAAAACACCATGAATTTTAGGATAATCTTTCGACCACTGTTCATGTTTTTCTTTATCGTTACAAAATACATAAATATAAACAATGACTTGTAATGGATAAATGATTGGTACCATTCTTCGACCAAGTGAGCCGGATACAATTAAAAATATTTTTTCTTCATTGATAGATTGAATATATTGAAGACAATCATTCATATTAGTATAGACATTTAAATGATTAATTATAGATCGTAAACGAATTTGTGTATCAATATTATCGTTTGGATCATGTATATTACTATCAAGCCATACGAGACTAATGTCCTCAAGATTTTCTTGTTCTCCAAACGTTTCGATGCAGGGTTCACGAACAATAAAGGATGAAGTCATTTTTTCTTAATTCTTGAAAAACGATTGCTTGAAACAAAAACGCCAGTCGACTAATATTATCGAGTTAACCGTAACATTTTGTTTGAGTTCGATTTTTGACTATTTAATGGAGCACATAAAAACTTCGTTATTCGTCGTCTGGAACACGCACGTAGAAATTGAACTAAAGACAAAATAAACTAAGCACATGTGAGAAAACGCCTTAACATAGTTCATTCAAAAATAAGAGTGTGGTTAACAACTCCATAACTTTAAAACTTTTACTTCGGCTTTACTTTCTCGAATCGCTAAACACGAATAGCTGATGATTTTATAAAAAAAACATTTCTTACTTGTATCGTTTGCAATATACTATTTTAAAATGTGCATTGTGCACTAACTACAACAATTTTTTTTTGTTGCAGAAAAATCTTAATATAGTTCATCGTTCTGTTAGAAAATAGGTAGCAGTTTCATATATAAAAAACGAAATCAAAATCAGCAACATCACGATTACGTAGCTTTTTTCATCTACACGTGGAAAGAAAAAAATATATAAGAATTTGTGCAATGTTCTTCTTTTTCCTATTTTGGTTTCTTTTTTTATTGCTTTTTTCTTATTGCATTTTGTTTTTCAACGTAAAATGTAATAGAAAAATACCTCTTATTTTCACCTTTTATGTGAAATACTGAATTTCGACTTCGAGTTTCAGGTCCAAATTGATCATTGAAAAAATGTGATTTTGTTACACGAACGAGTAACCATTTTTTACTATCAGATTAAAATGCTGTACTTGTTCTTACTCTTAAAGTCTAGAATTACGTAATAGCATTGCTATCTATAAAATCTATCATTATTTTATCGACATTTAACACGACATGTTTAACGACACTTCCCATAGAATATTAACTGCACAGAGCTTGTGTTCCCAATGTGAATAGCCGATTCATATCTCGTTCATGGTTAGTAATATAAAATCCTGAGTATAACAGAAGAGAAAACAATCATGAATGATAAAATCGTATAAAAGTCTTACTGGTTTAGAAAATGTCACTACCCTAGTCTATAATCCTCAAAGAAGTCCCAGGTGACTCCCAGCTGAAACTCCCTGGGAAGTCCTGTTACCGAGTCTCCAAGGAGCTTTCAGGGAAGTCCCTGTGGAGTCCCTTGGGACTTTGGAAATAAATAAATAAAGTTTCTTACGAAAAGGAAAAATATTTATCTATAATTATAAAAAAATTTGATAAAACCATTGTGATCTAAGGAGATCAAAAATATTGATGCCTCTAAATGATGATACATGTATTTACTTGAATGTATGCTTATCTAATTAAAATTTTTTTCCGCGATCGGAGTGTTTAATAAATAAATTGATTTGAGAAAAGAAGTAAAGAAAATTTTTTTCATAATTTTTCCAACGAAAAATTATCGGCACAAATTCACTCTCGTGGTTTCGTAAAACAAGCAGGTAAAAATAGAAGAAAAAATCCTAGTAAAAACTGATTACAGTACAAAGTTAAAGAATCGAGTAGATTAAAGTATGGAAAAGTCAATTTGTTGAAAAAGCTCGTTCACGGTACTTTAGAACTAAAAGTCTATTCTTCAACATTACATGTACAAAGCCGATCAGATTTGGTAATAAATTATAAAGGAAATATGCTTCTTCCAAGACAATGATGATTCAATAAACTCCTAAATGTTTATGTGCATGTACTACCCATGAGGGTAATTTTTGTTGAAAACTTGCGATATATCGAGATATTATGCTAAATGTGCTGAAATATCGCGATAATGAGCAACTCTGTCGCGATAGAAAAGTGAGTGCAGTTTATCGCAGTCTCTC